TATTTTATGTTAATGAGAACACAATAATTCCATTTTCACTCTAATTTTCAATATTATATATGTAATAATGTATTTTTTAAGATTAAGATAAAAAAATTTAAATTTATTATTAATTTCGCCGTCGACATTCTAAAAAGCTGTTTTTACAAACTGCTGAACGGGACCAGATTTGAGCAAAAATATGAACAAAAATCGTTGAAAAAACCGCTCGGAGAGGTACCAAGGGGTAAGTATGCGGAAGCATGAGGAATTATTAGAAACGGAAAAGAAAATTTTCGGTTTGGATAAGGAAACGTTAGCCTTTATCGACTCCTTTTTATTTTTTGTGAAAAAATTATCGGTTAAAACGTGAAGAATATCTGTTTTAAAATTGATTTACATTTCACGCGTCAGTAAATAATTGCGGAATTATGCGAGTCAGATTAATAAACACAGCGGGTCCCAAACTTTTTTGGTGACGGAACCCTTTTAAGGACCTAAATTTTTAACGAAGCCCTAAACCCTAACTAAACTAAAAGCAAAACGAGTTATACAGGGTGTCTCGTAAGCACATGATCAAAAGGATACTGCAATATTCTTTGCATCAAAAGAAGACGATCTGACCTAACTTTTATTAACAAAAAATGTCTGGCTCCTCTGCTATTGATGGTCAAAGTTCTTCAAAAAATTTAGCTTTTTTGAAATATCGGGAAAATTCGCTGTGAATTTGTTCTTATGTAAGACTCATATTTTGATGAAACAATCGAGTTCAGCCGTTTTGGACTAGTGGTGAATTCTTGAGTATCGTGGTACAAAAACTACCAGAACTTTTTATTTGGTGGATGGAAACAACTCATTTTTTGGCTGATGCACTAATCATACAATTTTGTGCTCTTTGTGAAATCATGTAGCATCCATAGTTTTTGCGCAAAAAATATGTCTGTTTTCTTGCCACTTAACAATGTTAGACATTAACTGCAAATATGCGCCACGTAAACGCGTACGCTTTCACGCAAGTTGTATTAGCAAAACCCTGATACTTTGACCATGTCGATCACTTCTTCATTAGAAAAGGTCGTTTCAAACGAATTT